ATCCAGGTTTCCTTACAGTCTGTGTTCTCAGACACATAGCTTGACATTGTGTCAAATTCACTTGAGATAGCACAGGATTAGCAGCTGAAATAAGATAGTTACAGCAGAACTTTGAGAAATTCCTGAAGCCCTGGCAGGGACCCTGTGCAGTTTTTCTTTCTTGTGGGAGCAGATAAGTGTTGCTAATCTTCCAGTGCCAAGCAATAATGGCTGCTCTTTCCCATAAATTGTCTGGACTAGTAAAGCAGGTGAGAGTCCCCACAGTTTGGAAATCCCCATTTATGAGATTTCTTGGGATGGGTCGCCATGTTGTTCTAAGTGGAACTGGACTTGGTTAATGGTTGGCATGCATGAGGCAGAAGGACTTGAACTTGGATTAAATCAGAACCATGGGTTCTTTCCTTGGGAAGATGTATGGAAGTAATTGTTGGGCACCTGCTTTAGCTAATGGCCATGGCAACCTATTCCAGTTCAAGGGCTAGTCACAGGAATGGAGAACCCTTCCTTTCATTTTGGCCATTTGGACAACTGGTCATCACTCTATGTAAAGGACTCTGAAGCAGAGATTCCCTCTAGGCATGGATAGGAATCATATCAGTTAATAAAAGCAATAATTATGCTCTTAAGGGGCAGACTGCCTGTGAATAGAGGTGTTGATGACTTCTCAGACACGTTTGGACATGAGGGTCATGGTTGGAAGCACTCTGTACATTCTAACCCATGGAGCCCTCCCCTACCATGCCACTGGTACTTAAAAACTACGACAACAGGCACGTCAGTGGCTTGCCTGGGTTCCCACACCCAGCAGGTGGCAGTTGAGCACTTCAAGCTAATGTACACGGTCTCACCACACCCTTTGCTTCCTTTTTAAAATATTGTGTGTATATGTTTATGAATTTGTACTTGTTCCTGTGTGTGTGCACATATGCATATACATGATGGATGTCTTGTTTGTGAGTGTTCACATATGCATGAGAGGACAGGTCCATGATGATGTCTTTTCTTGATTGCTTTCCACCTTTAGTTTTTGACACAATCTGTCACTGCAACTGAACATTTTTGATTCAGCTGGCCAATGAGCTTCATTTTCACCTAAGACTCCATGTCCCCAAAACCCCATCACTAGGGTTACACACATGCTTTGCTATGCCCAGACGTTTTCCCCACCCACTTTTAATTTTTTTGAGAATTTAACAAATGGTTATAATATTTTGATCAAACCAACTTCCCCATACCCTCCCCTCCATTTCTTCTGTATGTCCCCATCACCACCTTCTATGCCAACTTCACGTAGACTTTTCTTGAACTGAGTGTTTAGTGTTGTCTAGAGGTCTATGGATGTGGGACCATCTACTGGAGCGTGGGTAGCCTCTTAAGGCCACCTCCCCGAAGAAAACCGGCTCTCCCTCCCACAGCAGCCATCAATTGCCAGTAGCCTCTCAGATAGAGCTGAGACTCTGTCTTTGTGAAACCCAACCCATCCTAGGATTTTAGCTGGCTTGATCCTGTATCGGTCTTGTGCACACACGCACAATGGTCCTTTCCTGTCTGAAAAATGCTGTTCTGCCACAGGTATCTCTTTCCTCTTCTATAGTAACTCCTGAGCCATTGGGGAAGGGATATGCTATAGATGTCCCATAGAGAACTGAGCACAGCACAGTCTCTTTTTCTCTGTGTGACCAGTTGCAGATCTCTGTATTGATCATCATGTACCACCCACAAAAGCTTTTCTGAAGAGGGCTGAGAGATGCGTCAGTCTCTGGGTGTAAAGATGAGAATTTGGTCAGGGACAGTTTATTACTATTTCCAGATAGCAGGGTAATAGCACTAAGTCCTCCCAGAACTCACAGAGGTACTGGAGATCCAAATTCGGGTCCCATCCTTGCACAGCAGGTATTTTATTGATTGTACTGCCTTCTTCAGCTCCTGCTTCACGTTTTACACCTGACTCACTAGGCTCTCAGGTGACTCTGGGGCTGTAGAGCTGGAATAGGGACTGTGGCTCTGCACTTGTGACAAATTGCTCGGTAATAATGATGCTGCTAACTCCTGGACCACACTGGAGTGGTGGTCTCTGGACCATGAGAGCCATGCTTCACCTCCTAAAGCTAAGCTACTCAAGGGTGTTTAACACCCACTCTGTGCTGCCTTCTTCAGGATTTTGGAGCACCCTTTCCTAGACTTGGTAGATGAAGATTAAGGTTGTGAAACTATACAGGGTAGTCCAGGAAATGGGTGGATGGTTTAAGGGGACAAAGTACATGGATAACTTGCAGAGTAGATAGCACATTGGACTCCTTTGGACCTTGAACCTCAAGCTCAAGTCTCCCCTGTATATTCCTCCATACAGCTTCTTTCCTCCACTCCAATCTGCTCCCCACCTTTCCAACATGACTGCCTCACCTAAAGTGCACCAGCTCCTTCATGCCCCACCACAGCCCGCAAGAACCACATGCTTATTATTTTAAGTTCTGGGTACTTGATTGCTCTGTCAGTAGAATACAGGAGTTCTGGATTAAGAAATATTGAGCAGGAAGGGGAAGTTGAGTTTTGATAATATATTTCACACTCATACATAAACACACACACTAAAGAGCATGTATGTATGCAATGAGAGCTCATTGCTGGAGTGCCAGGATGCTTTCTGTCACACACACGCATGCACACACACACACACACACACACACACACGTACATGCATGCACGAAAACACACAATGCTCAAGCTCACACACATACACTACTTGCCAACTTTCAGGAAAAGAGTTTCCTTTAGGAGAGGGAAGAGAAATCCCCGAATTTCTACCTTGTGAACAGCATCTCTGTGAGTTCCCCAATTGTACACTTGCTTTCTTAATTTTAATTTTATGTACGTGAGTATTTCTGCCTGTAAGTTATGTCTGTGTGCCATGTGTGTGGCTGATTTCCACACAGGCCATAAGGAAGAGGGTGTTCGATCCCCTGAAACTGGAGTTCTAAAATGTTGTGTACCTACACATGGGTGCTGGAAATTAAGCCTTGTTCCTCTGGAAGAGCAGCCAGTGCTCTTAACCACTGAATCATTTCTTCAGTCACAAACAAAGCTACTTATGAACTTGTATACATCGGCTCTCATACTTGTTCTTAGATAGCGCGGAAGATTGCAGAGATGAACAGTAAAGGAGTCTAGTCATCAGACATGTAAGCCTCTGGAAGTTCATCTGCAACTGCTCCACAGGAGCGACGGAGAAAGTGACAGCCAGGATGTTTTGATGGCAAATGAGTTTGAGGTGTTCCTGAATGTGGTATGAAACCTGGGTGGACTGTGACAAACAATCTAAGCTTCCTGCTACAGAATCCCAAGGGACTAACTAAACCTAAAGCAAGAAACAGCCAGAATAAAAATATATAGTTGTTAACCAGTTTGGACCCTAAATGGATAAGGTGAACATTAATCTCCATCTTGTTCTCAGGAAATGGAAGACTTCTCTAGAGACTTTGTGATCTTCCTAACAATGTCTGACATTCACTCTGGAAAAATTCACAGTCACACTGATACAATGTCAGAATCAAAACAAGATGGGAAGAACAAGTCTGTGGGTCATATTTGCTATGGAAGTTGTCAGACACAGCTGTTAACATTGATCATTAGCTTGGTTAAGAAATTAGGTGAGAAGCTAGAGGATTCATTAGAGAACCGGGGTGTATTAAGAAGAGTTAGACAGATAATCCTGAGCTGAAAGATACCATAAAAGAAAAGAAAAAATAAAGAGGCTTTTTGACAAGTTAGACACACAGGAAGAGAAGATCAGCTGTCTGGAAGACACTTCAAAAGCTAATATCCAATAAAGATCCCAAAGACAAAAGGATAGAAAATTAAGAATTGATATCTATAGCAACAATAATTCAGACACATTTAGGAGGCACAATAGAGTGAAATGAATGTGCATCCCATCTCTGTCTCATATCTTGCCTCCTGTGTCGATTTCTTCTGCATTAGACCTGCCTTTCTAAAAGTCAGGTCTTCGATTCTCTTGTCTAGATTTCTTCAGTTGGTAGCCACAGATCACAATTTGGCAATTTAAATCTAAATTACTCAAGTTTAATTCAATTGTATATTTCGTTTGTTCATTTGTTTGTTTTTCAAGGCAGGGTTTCTCTGTGTAACCCTGGCTGTCCTAGAACTAGCTGTGTAGACCAGGCTGACTTCAAACTCACAGAGATATATCTGCCTCTGCCTCCTGAGTTCTGGGGTTAAAGACAGGCTATCTTGGTCAGACTATCCACATTTTAAGTGTTCAATAGTCACATGTAGCCAATAGTTGATGACCCAGACACCACTTACCTGGAACATTTCTGTGAACACGGAAAGTTCTGTTGAACAATCAGCTCAATCCCTGGTGTATGTGTTTTGTTGTTGTCTGTTTACTTCCCTAGAGTGATAGTCAAGGTTTTACACACTGTAACTCCATTTGTTCTTCTGAAAGCAGAGTAAATCCTTTGACCAACCACCAAGTAAAAGAAGATGAAGTAATCTCAAAAGTAGGAGCCTGCTGACTTTAAGAGTGTCTTGCATACAGAGTGGGTTCAGGGCCAGTTCTAACCAATTCAGGACTCCAGGTACTTCTGTCTAGGAATAAATACTCAGCACTGGACCAAGGATGATAGTAAAATCACAAAGGAAGTGGTTGTTTGGTTTTGGTCCCCATCAATAAACTTTTTATATTTGAAAGTATGTGGGGCAGACGGGACTTTCATTAGACTGTACTTTGGCTTTGCCATGTACTGGCTTTTAAACACAGACAGCTTTCTTTGCCTGTCCTGGGGCCCAGGTTTCTTCCCTTGTGGTGGAAGCCATTGCATTTCTCTCCTTGGTATCTGGGCTGTGAAGACTTAAGGCAGTTTTGTCAATGTGGACATTATAAATTTAAGTGACATCAGTACCATACATTTGGGGTTACATTGTGGGTCAGGGCTGTGGGCTGCTGTGTGTCATGTTATCCTGTATCTTTGTGCTTACAGTGATCTCCCTCAAGGCTGCTGAAGATTCATCATTTGAGAAAAAGAAGGTGACTTGGGCATTTTTTGAAGGTAAGTCTGGCTTCTTGATTTCTAGACAGAAAGAGAGGAATGGAAAAAGATAAAGGATTTGAGTCTCTTAGTATTTTTATAGCATCAAGTTATCTCCTGGGCTGATCTTTGCAGGAGTGAAATGTAAATGACTAGTGGTATCCTTCACAGTGGAGCAGATGGGGGTGAAAGTCTTATTCTGCCTAATTCTACTTCTTCCTCATTTTATCTGTCCCGTACTTCTTCTGGTTGATACTGAGGAGAGACTTCCCAGGGATGTGAAATTAAAGAATACAGCCACTGAAGCTGACTTTAATTTTTGGTTGCTTTCAAAGTCTGAGGTCCTAAGGAGTTTGAAAGCTATAAGCAAGTTATCTTCATCTCATGTTAGAACCACTCAGGGAGCTTTAAAAGCAGGGATGCTTGACCTTCCAGGGAGATTCTGACTTAGGTGGAAACTTATGCATACCTCCCCATTTGACTCCAGCTTGCAGCAGGTTAGAATCCATGGCCAGAAAGACAGTTCTCAGCGGCAGTCACTCCCTAAAGCTTGTCTTAAATGCAGGCTGAACTCTGAGGTGGCACTTCATGAATTTGGAAGGATTGTACATCCAGTCTTGACACACTCTGTAGTATGATTTGAATCTCTAAGACACTTTGTATGACAAAAACTTCTGGCATCCCTTCAAGTATAAGTTTTGGAGTGGAGTTCTGAACAGTGGGGCTACTTCTGCCACTGTAGAGGACATTTGCTGGTTTCAGGGAACAGTTTTGGTTGCCTCAAATGTGGACATTCCACTAGCAGCATAAGGCTAGAGACAATGCACAAGATAGTCCCCACATCAGAAGACTTGGCCCCCAGATGCCAAAGGAGGTTATGGGTCTTTGCCTCAAAGAAAGGATAGTAGAAAAATGGTCATTGCAACGTAAGTGAGGAGAGTGACCAATGACATCATGCACTCTAAGTTCTCAGGCAGAGTCATTGATGTCAAGGAAGCAAAGCAGGACCTTGGGAAGGCTCCCATCTTGTGAAGTCTTTGGGTTGATTGATGATGAATGTGCTGGTCAAAGGACCTAAGAAGAGGTGAGTGCCTTGTCTCACTACCTGCTGTGTGATGGGAGGGGAGAGAGGGAGAGAGAGGGGGAAGGAGGAGGAGGAGGAAGAGGAGGAGGAGGAGGAAGAGGAGGAGGAAGAGGAGGAGGAGGAGGAGGAAGAGGAAGAGGAGGAGGAGGAGGAGGAACAGGAGCAGGAACAGGAGGAGCAGGAGGAGCAGGAGGAGGAATTGGTCTTACAGGGAAAGCCTAGGGATTCAAAGCTACTATTCCAGTAGCATGTTAAAAAGGCACCATATCTCTTTGACAAATTCCATTCTAATTGTGAACACGAATTGATGTTCCATTCTAATTGTGAATGTGAATTGGCTAACTATGCACTTTGATGTAACCACTCAGTTTGCCAGGACTTACTGTTTAGTTTAATAGTTGTAAGTAGTTTTTTCTTTTCAAATCACATTTTATCCAATAATGCATCTCTTTGTATTTTGGAGCTTTCTTCTACATTTCATAGTCGCCATTTACTTTATCTTATGACTTTCTCCAAGCAAAGCAGTCCCTGGTTCCCTCTCCCTCTGTCTCTCATTTGGCTTCCTCTTGGGCAGAGATGAAAGTGGCTCTCTTCCCCATAGGGAGAAGTTGTGGGAAAAAGGAACAAGGTTTTCTCTTCTCCTTGCAATTGAGTAAAATTGAGGCAACCTGTCTGAGTTTTACCTTATGTCTCCAATGCTGTCTTGAGCTTTGGCGCTATGCTGGCGTGGAATGGTAAAAATGTCTGCAGGATTCTCTAAGAAGCTCACTGAAGAACATGCCAGAGGGAGCCTTGGCTCTACCTCTGTGATATTTACTATCACATTAAGCATCATGCTCTCAGGAATGTGAGGTGATTTTGTTGGGAGTGATAGAAAGACCACATTCCATATTTTAAAACTGCAATAGTACAATAAAAGAGACCTCACACATTTGGAAGGACTGTAGCAGTCAGTCTTGACACACTCTGCAGTGAGTTGAATCTCTAAGACACTGTATAATTGGCAACATTTTATAAGTCCACAGATGTTGAGTCTAAGCTATATCCCAACTTAAGGACAAGTGCAATCTGGCCCAGCATGGACTTTCTTCTCAATAGAGACAATCAAGTCCTGTCAAAGACTGGAAGTTGGCAGTCTCACTATGCATCCTGAAGGCCCCAGGGTAGCTGTCTTTATGACTTCTTTCCCTGTGCTGAAGGAATTGGTGGTGGTGGTCACGCTATTGGCAGTAGCAGCAGCAGCAGCAATGTCCTTGCGTTCTGCGTTTTTAGCCCACCACAGCTCTGGCAAGGTCAAGGGTGTAGATGAAACTCTTTGGCACAGGATCTCAGGCCTTTTGCCCTTTTGTTCCTGATTGGAAGAGCTTCAGTGTGGGTTGTAGACAGATATCCATCCTCCTGGGGCTTAGCTAGGCCTGGCTGTGTGCCTGCCCAACAAAACAAGCATTGATTGTCAGGGCTCTTGATGAGATATTGGAGTGAGTTAAAATCCCTCAGGGCCATCACTCAGGTATTTTGCCCTGAGCAAGATGGTATTACAGACTGCATTAAAAAATAGTAGAAGTACACAGAGTTTTATTGCCGGAACAGCTATTCCCCAGGCTCTTGCCATTGAACTGGAAACGTAGAACACTGACCCTGGCTTTCTTGACTGCTGTTGTGGTGTGTGTTGTGGTGGAGGGGGGAGAAGGGGAGGTTGGTTGTGCAAAGGAATGCTAGAGTCACCCAATTTCAAAGCAGCTCTGATTACTTGGTTGAGTTGCCAGGCAACAGGTACTTTTGTCCTGCCTGGTTCAGCTGGCAGTCTGGGAGGATGGGCAGAAGTTGATTGGCACAGTAACATTGTCACCCCGTGTTGGCCTCCCTGTGGTGTGCACAGCCACTGAAGCCTGCTGGCCTCACCATCTGCTTTGGGGAGACCTGGATTTTTTTTTTCAGCCTGTTTAAAAATGGCAGTGGTGTCTTTAGGAGTTCAGTGGCAAAAAACAAAATCACAAACAGATTTAGGGACTAGAGCGTGATGTTTTCTATTGCTGTTAAGTGTGTGGGTATAGATAATGTTTATTATTTGTATATTCATTTACTTTGCATTTATTCATTCATTCATTTTATTATTTATTTGGACAGAATGAAGTCCAGTGCCTTACATAGGCTGTGCTTGTACTTTACTATGAAGCTAAATCCTCAGTCCTATGCGATCATTCATTCATTCATTCATTCATTCATTCATTCATTTTGGGTGCTGTAGAATTAACCTAGGGCTTCATGCATGCTACGAGCACTCTATCATTAAGCCCCAGTTTCCTTCCCATGTGGTATTTAAAAGCTGGGTTTGGATTTGGCTAAGTGAAGAAGTTTTGTTGAGTTTGTGTCTAAAGGTTTAATTCCATTCTTCAGACAGTGTTATTTGGTTAGGCTTGAGTTTTGAAACTTTTTGGGCCATCTTTTATAAATAGATCAGATGTGAAGATAAGGTGACATCAGGCCAGCCTGAGAACAGTGTCTAGAACACAGTGCAACTTGCCTGCACTGTCACTGTGAAAAGGTGACCCCGGAGGCTTCCGATTTTGTGAGACTGGCCTTCGGTTAGCCTTTGTCTATAGAGAAAACTGGGGTCAGTGGCAGGGTCACTGTTTTGCTGTCCTTTATGTAGCAAAAGAAATGGTTGGCATGGGAGACACAATGAGGACTTCTCAGTCTCGATTGCTGCATGGTGGAGGGAAAATGGATGTGCAGCTTTTCTCTTCTTGGGAAGTGACACATTTTAAGGATCCTAAGGCTCGAAGGGCAGAGGAGAGCACATCCACTCTCATTCCTGCATGAAGACCCACATGCAGATGGGTGGGTGGCGCCCACTGGTGCGTCTGCATTGCCCCCAGAGCCTCTGTGCTTGGAGCAATGAGTCCTTTTAGTCACCGAACCATTTCTCTAGACTCCAGTGTTCTTTGTTTGTTTGTTTGTTTGTTTGTTTGTTTTTTAAAATAATAGTTTTGATCCATGATTGATTCCATTTGTGGATGTGGAAACTGGAGACACAGAGAAACAATTACACTTCATTTTTAGTTCAAAATTCTAAATAGCCAGGATCAGGAATCTACTCAGTCTAGCTTAGACAAAAATGTTGGGCTACTCTAAGAACATGAAAGAACTTACTGACTCCAGGCATGGAGTCTACACCAGGCAGCCTGAGGACCCTGGGCAGGTAGTATTCCTGTTGACTCAGAGGTTCTGCCAGAAGCTCAAATCTTGAGAACGTAATATGTGAGATGAACTAAGATTTACATTTATGAATGCTCATGCTAGAATTTTTTTGTTATGAGGAAATCATGTAGAAACAGTAATTAGCCAGTGGTAGATGATTTTAACAATTATTTCTTGGGCTGGAGAGAGATGGCTCAGTGGTTAAGGGTTCTTGGTCCCATTTCGAAGAACCAGAGTTTAGTTCCTACCACCCACATTGGATGGCTCACAACCACCTCCAACCCTAGGGCATCAGATGTCCTTATCTAACTTCTACAAGCACTTGTACACACACACACACACACACACACACACACACACACACACACACACACACATTGAAAAAAAGAATTGAGTATTTTCATTTCTTAAAAGTTTTCCAAAATAGCTCATCCATTTTCAATAGCTACTAGCCCAGTTGGAGTCACCTCATTTAGCTGCACCCTCATCGGCCTTCTGAATGATATGTGGACCGTCTCACTCTGGCTTCCTTTTACAAATCTTTCATGAGTAAGCAAGCTGACTGCACTTCTGTACGTACTCTCCACTATGCATACTGTCTGGTGAAATGTCTCTGCATGCTTTACCCACTTTTCAGGTAGGATTCTTGGCTTTTTACCATTTACAGCTGAGTTTTTGAGAGTTCTTAACATATTCTAGATACAACTCCCTGTTTGGAGATCTAGTTGTAAATGCTTCCTCCCATACTCCAGTGTGACTCTTTGCCTTCTTCGTGCAGCTGTTCACAGAGTAAGAGTTTTCACTTACAGCGAATCAAATTTACCTTCTCTAATGACTGAACATGTATGCTGGTTGGGTAACCAGCCTCTGAGCTGTAGCCCTAGCCCTCAAGGTTTACCCATAGGGAGGATGCCTCTGATGACAAGTCCAGGCACTCTGCCTCTTAGACTAGATCTGAAGGTTTTCCTCTGGTGCACTTTTACATTTGAAGTTCTTTTAGTGGTTCATTTATAACATTTATAACAATGTGCCTTTCAGATCTCTATGTGTATGCTGTTCTTGTGTGCTGCGTGGGGATCGTCAGCGTTCTGCTCTTCACTCTGGTCATTGCCTGTCAGTCCATGTTTCACAAGAGGAAATCAAGAGGTAAGCAAACAGATAAGGTCATGTCTGGAATGGGAAGCCACCCACCCACACACAGGCGGAAGACTGGGCAAAGTATCACCTTGGTGGGAAGGCATTCCGGGTCAGCAGTTGTTTACCTGGAGCTAGAAAGCAAAGGGAATGAGGAGACTTGCTTCTTATAGGCGTTGCTGAAATAAATTGATCACCGTCACACCAGCTAAATTCCCTTTTCTCACGCATCTTCCCTCTTGGGGCTTTGGGTTTCTTACCCATGATCATGGTGTTCATCCTGAGCAGGGTGTGGCTGGAGCAGCTTTGCTTTGCATTTGGGTTCAAAGAGTGAGTTTGGAGGCTAAAGTTCTGAACTAAAGTTCTGCAAATACCTTCTTGGCAGGCAGGTGGGACCTGGGATGTCCCTCTCTGTTCTTTTCCTGACAAGTGCCTACTCCTTTCTTGCCAGAGTCCCTGAATCCCTGGAGGCTGTCCTCAGTCCCCTCTCCTTGTGCGTTCTTTCTCAGACATTGCAGTCTATGACTCCTATCTCCCCACGAACGCTGCTGACTCTAACGACTGCCCTTATCTCTTATAGAGCTCAGTTTCCCAAGTCTAGCAGTTCTAAGAATCTGCCCAGCTGTCAGCCTCTATTCTGTTCTCCAAAGATGGCTCAGCAAAACTTCTTCCAGGGTGTTGGCTGACTCTTCGGGGCTTGCTTGAGCTTCTCTTTCTTTAAATCCCCCTCTGAGTATTCCTCATGCACACCATCCCCCAGAATCTTCAAAAGTAGTGGAGAGAGGACACAGTTACTCTCAGAAATAATGGAGGCAAACTGAGCCCAGTTTCAAGGACATCTCACTGAGCAGCCAGGGATCTCACCTCTGTCCTCCTCCTCCTCCTCCTCCTCCTCCTCCTCCTCCTCCTCCTCCTCCTCCTCCTCCTCCTCCTCCTTCTTCTTCTTCTTCTTCTTCTTCTTCTTCTTCTCTGAAACTTGGGGAACAATAGTGCACCCATCTGAGAGCTGGGAAAGTGGAGACACTCAAACCCCTGAGAACATTTATGGTGACCTGTGAGTCACTGTCACTGTAGGCTTGAGGGTGTGGATAAGGGAAGAGTTAGCTTCTGTTCATGTTCACAGGGACCTTTAAACTGGGAAACTGAATGACAGCTACAAAGGGGACAGACCCTCCCCAGAGATGTGGGCAAGACCGAGAAAACTAGGAAGGGAGGCTGTGCATCCAGTAACTGGTACCTATGGGAAATTGTTGCTCAAGGGGTGAGGAGGAAAGGTTCTGGGAGCTGTATGTGCTGCTGTTGCCATTGGATTCAGAGGTTAAGAGCACTGACTGCTCTTCCAGAGGACCTGGGTTCGGTTTTCATCACCAACATGATAGTTCACAACCATCATTAACTCTAGTCCTGGGGAATCTGACACACCCTCAGGGCCTCTTCCAGCACTGGGTATGAACATGGGCATATGAACATACACGCAGCTAAAACAATCACACATAAAATAAAATAAAATAAAATAAAATAAAATAAAATAAAATAAAATAAAATACTACAGAACTGTTGTAGGATAGGTGGTCCAGAAGCAATTCACCCAATGTTCAGCTGGTACAACATGAGGGCTGGCTCAAAGATCCTGCATGCATTGCCTCCCTCCTCCAGCACTGCAGTCCCTGGATGCTTCTTCCCTTTGAAGTCAAACCAAAGCCAGCAAGTATGGAAGACAAAGGTGCCATCAGCAGCTTCCAGGGGTTGGGTGCAGTTGACAGGGAGCAGAGAATAGCACAAGCAGCCCTGGAAATGGAGCCAGGGCTACAGGCCAGATTTCTCTCCACTAGAGCCTGAATGCTTCCCTCCGGCCTTGCATTTCACTGTGCTGCCCTTGAGTACCTTCCCCCATGGCATCTGCCACCCCATTACGATATCCCAGCATTTCCCTAGTTCACAGTCCTCAGCTGCTTCTCTGAGCTTGTGGCAAATGTTGCCCATGGGTGTTGGCCCTTTGCCTCTTTTCCAGAGAACTCTGTGTGAGGCAGAGGCCATGCATGTGACAGATCCCCCTTGGAATTTGGCTCATGACGGATGCGCCACAAATGATGAACAAATAGATTTGCTTTCCAGCTGCTCTGCTCCCAGCTGTTAGAGCTTAGAAGGCACCAGTGTGAGCAATCACTAGGCTGGGTGTGTGCTAAGGGCAGCTCTACCAGGGTTTGGGAAGACTTGAGCTGTAGACTCTGTGGAATTTGAGGCAGGACCCTGGAATCAAAGAAATGCCAAGAAGGGCAGACAGGACACACTGATATCTTCCTCCAGACCTCACAGAGAGACCTTAAGGAATGGAGCTTATAACTGGCTCATCACCCTCCCCTGCCAGGATGGGCTGCAGGGTGACCACTTGTGCTCCACATCTGAAGCCCTACCCAGCTGTCAAGAGCATTGTCTGAGCACCTGCCATAGACTAGGCATATGGTTCTACTTCTCCACATCTTATGTAGCCCACACAGCTCCCATGAGACAGTGCACATGATAATAGCCCTAGACTAGGCAGTGACAGAGGAGAGGGCTCTAGCTGTATTCTAGAAAATCCACAGACATCCGAGGGTGACCTTTGTGAAGGGACTTTCCTCCAACTTTCCATGGAGATTATTGCTGAGATTCTTCCCAAGCAGACTCACCCAGCTCCTGTGGTTCTGGAGTACATCTTTTGATATGTCTGAGTTTCAGAGAGGGCAGTGAGCCTTTATAGGTGACTCTCAAGGGCTACATAGGATGTGTATGAAGACATAGTGCTATGATTTGAGCATAGGATATCCTCACCATAGGTTCCTGTGTTTGAGTCTGGATTCCAAACTGATGGAACTACTTTGGGAGGGCCTAGGAACTTCAGGAGGTGGCACATAGCTGGAGGAAGTTGATCACCAGGGTCAGGTTCTTTGGATTTCCTTGTCAGTGGCCCTGTCCTTGTTTGTTCTCTGCTTTGTGTCCACCAAGAACTAAGGAGCAGTCTCAGGCAGTTGCTGCTCCTTTGGTGGTGTTCCGCCTGAGCACATGAGGCCGAGTGTCAATGGGCTGAACCCTCTGCAGACTGGGAGCCAGGAACTCCATCCCCCCTTTCAAGTGTTCTTCCAGCTGTTTTGGTCACAGCTATATAAGGGTCAGCAATTGACATACATGTGACAGAATCGAGCATGGCCAGATTCAGAGAGACTTTAAAATCAGGGTCAGCAATTGGCATACATGTGACAGAAGCGAGCATGGATGGGTTAAGAGAGACTTTAAGATCTGGGAGTAAGGCTGCTCATAAGCCCCAACTTAGGAGTTTTCAGGAAATTACAAAACAAATTACGCACTCTTGTTTTGCATGTCCTTGTAACATCCACTGTAGATCAAAATGGAACAAAACCACACTTGGAGTCCCTATGTTTAAATTCAGTGAGCTTGAGTCCTAGGTTCTTATGAATGGATTCTTTCCTCCTCAGTGTAAATTCCAGAGGGTCATTGAATGGGAACAAATCATTTGTGGATTGTGTTATTACCACTCGTCTAGCATCCCTGTCCTCTGCCTGCCAGGGAGAGTCCTCATCAGCACCAGAGTTACCCCTGAGAAATCCAAATCCTCCCTGGTTGTTTGATTCCCCTTGAATACTAAAGCCATTGAGCAGAGTGTTTCCAGTGTTGATGCTCTGTGCCCTGAGCTCAAGGATATCGAGGTTTTAGAAACTGGTGGACAAGTCCAGCGGGGTCCAAATCCTTGTGTGGCTCTGCTTCTGTCCAAGTGCTCTCTGGGATACTAATCCCATGAGTCTTCATTTCCTGATGGAGAGGAAGGGAAAGCAGAGCAATGGTGATTGGTCCCAGAGTACTTGTCTCTCCCACTGCAGGACCAGAAGCTTGGGGAGGAGGAAAGGGTACAGTCCAGTTACCACAGGTGGCTGGGGAATAACTGACACTCTGGTGGGTCTGGAGTGCTGAGCTGTTTCCATAACAACCACCTGGCCAGGACCCTCTCATTGAGAACCATTGAGCATCTGTGGGCCATACCACATGCGTACAAATGATTCTGTAATTCTAAAGCACTTGTTTTGTTTTGTTTTATAATGGTCTCACATCTCATGCATTGAATTATAACAAATTTACATCGTCGCAACTACACTAAAACTGTAAATAAAGGGCTGAGTATAGTGCTTGGTTTGAAGAGGGTCCAATTCTTACTAGGGGTCCTACTGAGAGCCTGTTGGTGTTTAGGTTTTCCCTTCCAAGTGTGTTGCTTGGACTTTTTGCATGCATGTTTGAGGAAGGCAGCCCCTCCTGTAGGGGTCACAGAGCACTGAGGTTTGTAGGCTGTTCCTACCTAACGGTGCTTTTTGGTTCCTGCAGCAACATTTAGACAGAGGACCTCAGAGTAGCTGATCCACTCCTGAGGACGCTGCAATAGCATTGGCTCTTCTAAATCCAAGGGCAGTAGGCCAGCTTTCTTGGCTGCTGTTCTGCCCCAGCCATCGCTGCTGTTTCCAGGACACCCTGCTGGGCTATGAGCAAAGCTAATTGTACCCATGTGTTCCAGCCCAGCACAAGCATACTCCATTCTGCTTCCTAGCACAAACCACTGTCTTGCTTCATTTTAGTGCCTGCAGCGATCAGGACCTTATCCCAGGGTCTCTTTAGCTGAGTCACCTTGGAGAATACCAGTCCTGGGGTCCAGGACTGAGCCCTGAGTTCTGGTGGTTTCTCAGGACACTGGTTTTCAAGGCTACTGCTTTTCAGGAGCACATCTGGTCTTGCTGGCCCAGGAAGCTGACCCAATGATCCCTCAGCCTTCTGTGCCTGAGCTTCCAAAAGTATAGTCTCTTAGGCACTTTGGGACCAGGCAGGAGCAGGGGTGGCTTTTTCTTACCATGTATTCTCTTCGATGTGAGCTCTGGTTCCTTCTCACTTACAGTCTGTCTTCTAAGACCAGAGAGTGGACTGGACAATCCAAGGTTCATTACAACCTATCCTTCCCCCGGCTGCATCCCTGT